ACTCAACATAGTCAAATTAGTTAAATTGCGTATATCGGCGGCTACCGCTATAATACGGTTGAATCGCAAATAGAGTGTGGTCAGTGAACGCAGACGATATATTACCGCCGGTATTTCGGCAAGCTTGTTGTGCCTTAAATCAAGAACTTTAAGCTGCTTACAATTCTGCAATGATTCTGGCAACGAAGTTAAAGAATTTTCATTTAATGCAAGTGTCTTTAAGTTAACCAAACACCCAATTTCACTAGGTAGTTGACTAATTTTGTTGCTGTACAAATAAAGTTCTGTAAGATGAATGCACTCCTTCACTGATGTTGGTATAACTGTGACGGAGGATTTACTTAAATCCAAACGTTTTATGCCTTAAAAACAAAACAAATAATTATAAATGGAGACTACGAGATAATTATTCAGCGTGGTTACCTTCTTCCCGGCAACGTTGAAGCGCTTTAACGACATCCTGGTCAGCTTGTATGGGTTTACTTTTCTTTGTCGTAGGCTTAGGCTTGTTAGATTCGGGGTGTTTAACTGTCACCACCTTAGGTCGTGTTTCCGGTGGCATTTCGTTGTTGTTGCCAAGGCTACTGCCGCTGGCACCGCCACCACAAGCACTGCCACTGCCGCTATTTCCTTGGTTAGTTGTGAGACTCGTCGTTATAGCTGCGGCGCAGCTACTGCTGCTGTTGCTGCTACTGCCGAAACAATGGGTGGTCAAAACACTTCCAACACCACTTCTGCCACCTTCGTTAGAACTGTCTACACCTGCCAAAGATGATGTTGATGCTGTCGTACCGGCAGAAGAACACAAGTTCATAATTTTTCCCAGCGTAGCGGTCTGTGGCGACAACTTGTTGCCCAAATTTACAGCTAAAATTGTTGTGGATTGCTCCCTTTTTTGTCGTGGTCTTAGGGAATATAGGGATGTAAATTTTTCTGCCTTCGATTTGAATAACAATAATTTAGTTATTACTGAATTGGGCTGTATTTAAGAAAGATATTATATCGCTCATTTACTAGAAAACTGTCACAACTCAAAAAACTTGG